CCACGCTCGCTCAGTTGGCACCACCCAAGTTCTATTCCGATCTTATTGAGAGTACTCTTGGAGCTATCTATATAGATAGCGGAGGTTGTATAGATGCATGCGAGAAGTTCTTGGAAAGAATGAATCTGATAGCTTATCTTGAGCGTTTTGTGGGGCAGGCGGTACACCTCGAGCACCCCAGGAACGCTCTGGACCGCATTCTTGGTACCCAGAGACCAGATTTCCAATTGGCACAAAATGTTGACGGGCTTTACAATATCTCTGTCTGGCTAGAGGGTGCGAAGATCGCATCTATCGACAATTGTCTAACAAAAAGCGAGGGGGTTGTGCGAGGTGCCGATGCGGCATTAGCATATTTGTCATAAACCTGACTGCGAAAATGGAAGTCTTCCGTACTCAAGAGAAGTCATCTCTAGTAAATGGTTTATAGATCCATCTCGTTAAACAGACATACGTGGCGTGCTTACGCATTTAGTTCCTGTTGCGGGCTGGGAATAATGAGAGGCATCTTCTATCAAAAGTTGATTACATTTTGCGAGACCGAAGTGATTTACAGCATCGAATTAATATACACTGAACTTCCGAAAATAATCTAGGGAATTGGAAAAGACCAATGAACGTTAATTTCGACGTGGAGACTTGATAGGCTATAGAAATAAAAAGGAGGATCATAAAGAAGCATCACACATAGAGAAGGTATATTCTACGAGAGGCGACTTTCGGAATAAAAGATATTCCCTCTCCGGTGGACATAATATATATTTCCTCCTGAAGCCCCGCACCAAGCAGTTACACAACTCTTGTCATAGCTGACCTTGACGTCTCAAAATACTAACTGAAGTTGCTTGTCAACATGGCGTCAACGACCCGCTACTGTACCCGTTGTGAGAGAGGCTTCTCCTCGACTGATGCGCGGCAGCAGCATATTAAAGACTCCCCGAACCACAATATCTGCCATCACTGCTCTTCGCCGCTTGATTACGCAACAGAACGTGAATTAGATGATCATCTAGAAAGGGTGCATTATATATGTGCACCTTACGATAAACAATTCAAGGCTCCGAACCAGCTTGTCCAACACGACGTTGCGAAACATAATATGTGTAACACATGTCGCCGGTACTTCAACAATTCAGAAAATCGGAACAACGTTCGTTACCCGGCCCAATTATGATACCCCAACTTTCTTTCTAACGCCTCAAACTAGCATATGATTACCCATGTCGAAAAGAATATCATCTGCCCAGGGTGTTCACGAAAATTCGTGACGCACTCGGCGTTAATATTGCATTTGGAGGCTGAAACATGTGTCTCTGGAATTGGCCTTGAGGAGATAAATCAGCTAGCATTTGAGTTCTATCAGGCACAGCATTATAGATGTGATGATACTTCGTTCGATTTTCAGTGCTCACGCTGCCAAACACCGTTCGCGTTCATGAGTGGCCTTCTGCAACATGCAGAGAGCGGCTACTGTGGCAACCTTTTGGCGGAAAACAGCTCGTTGAGCAATTTTCTTCGCTTTATCAGATCACGCATTGCTTGAATCATGTAGAATTTCATCTCTCTCAACCAAGCGTATTTTAACATTCCATAGGAAACGTATTCTTGCAACAACAAATTAAGATGGCTTGATGGATTATTCATTGGTGTTCTGACGCAGTCGATAGGAACAAAGAGAGTGACTTCATTTGTCGCCGCGGTTTTTTTGACCGTAACGTCAGTTAGGGACTGTCTGCGACAAGTGGTCTGTATTGCAGTGCCTTTTATATACAGAATAGAGAGGCAAGGTGGGAAAAGCAAAATCGAGTCTTGCCTGCTTGAGGGGAGACGAACGAGCAGCATGGAGCTCAGAAAATAGTAGCGACCCGGGACTATGGGGGGTTCTTCAAAAACATTGATCTTGATCGATTGGGGCTCCCGACACTCCTTTGCTCTTGTGGGATAGCGTGGAAATATTTCGGAGATCGTCTGAGGTAGCATCACTGGATGGTCGCATAAATCCTAAGACTACATCATACACCCTCCAGGAACTACGAGCGAGACATATGTCTTTGCAATTTACTAGGAACATTGAAGCACTTCCACTACCTTACTTGGGGTCCTCGGATTGATTCACTAAGTTAACTTTCAGTCCGAAGAAGCCGAATACCTCCTCGCCCAAGTTGATCTTAACCTTTATAGCGAAACCCCAAATTTAGGCTCAGTGGACAAACAATGACTCTGGATACTATGACAGGGCCCCACGTGAGTGCTACCGATTAACCGGCTTGGAATCAATCAAATGCACGCATATTATTTGTGAGTCATTTACTTGACAGAGAGTAGTGCATCAAAGCGATTCTCCGCCTGCCGCTGTGACGTGGCCAAAGCGAATTTCAGTGTGAAAGACACTTGGTACGGGACATGAGATGCACCTCTTTTCCAGCGTTCGGAATTCCACAAACGCATACAAGTAAATTAGACGGTGAGGGGAGGCCAGTGTTGAAACGAAGAATGGCTAATACAGATTACATACATGCATGGCTACCCAATCTGCACTGATAAGCAAATTTAGATAAAGTGGATTTCACAATCGTCTTATCTTTCTGTTGCCTGGAAATTGTCTTTGGACCCACCGGGGGAGGGTCGGTCTCTCGGCTGGCATGGACTATTTATATCTGGCTTCGGCTCACGATGTTGCACTATTCACCTCCCATTTGGCCACCATCTGACAACGCCAGCCATGGAGCTTTGGTCACGGGGAAATGATGACCCAGGGGCCTATACGGCCCATCTTCCGAGTTCATTCTCCGTCAACCTACCACCCAGGGCGGGGAATGCGTCTTCAAGCTGTCCTCCGACCGATGCAATTTCCACGATGTTCGAGTCAAACATCACCGAAGAAGATAAAAATCCTGAAAATCCCACCACAGGGCCTGCCTTTCTATATCCAACTGGAATATCGTCTCCTGCTCTACAGGAAATCGTCGATGCAAATGAGTCTCTGTAGAGTACTGTATGCGACGAATTCCTGAACAACGAAAGCGACACGTCTGGTAGTTCTTCTTTTACGAACTTGACTGGCCCAATGATAAATATCAATTATGAGTCTGTGGATCATGACGCGGTAGCAATGTGCGACTGGAAATCTGAAGAAGCTGAGATGCCTTCAGATGAAGTGGTCGCCTCTTCGCCACGTGATGAACTGTACTTGTATCAATTCGAAGAATGTCAAAGGCTAGAAGGCTATGGTCTTGACTGTCAGTTGAAGTATGTTCCAAAATCGATTATACCTTTGCTCATCTTCTAATGAATCTCAGGAAACGTGTTCGAGTACACACTGTACTTTTCAAATGTGCCGAGTGCCCATACAAAGCAGCTGCAAAAAAGGACGTTGCTCGGCACGTCAAAGTTAGTCACAGGAATCTAGCTGAAAGAATTTGGGGTCCCAAGGAGCTGTTTGTCTGCCCTGTATGCAAGACGAAATTCACACGGAAAGACAACGCTCAAAAGCACTACAAATTAAAGCATCATCGGTAGATGCACCATCGAAATGGCTATGCTAGAATATCCTGAATACCATGCTCATTGTTTATTGCATCATTCTTTGTTCTCGTTGGTGGCTTGCATTATTTGGAGCTTCTAATATAGTGTAAGTCGGGATTAAACTCCTTCTCGGAAACACAAATATCCTCTCCAAACAGTCATTGGAACGGCTTCAGTTTTGGGAAGCCTAGCTATATCTACCTACTTGTGTCAGGGTCCGGATACTGGCCGGAGAGCAATGCGTGATTATCCCCAGGTGAACGTGTTCATGAAGTCTGCCAGTTTCCAAGTCTGATAAGTAGACTCACATATCTTCACAGCCTGGCTATGATAATCTTTCGGCTCAGTGAGAGCTTCTAGATGTCGATGACAGGGAGTGGATTTTCTAAGTCTGTGTACAAGGATCGACAGAAATTCTCTCAACAAGAACACAATGCCCGCTAAATTCGATTAGTATTTTGCTCTACAATTTCTAAATGTTCGTTGAATCAATTTTTTTTTCAGGAATCCTTTGCTTTTTTTTAAAAAAAAGTATGTCATGAAATAAAAAGTCACGTTATTTCTTATCTTGGGCCGAGGGTGGGCACGAGATGTACTATTTGACCTTTTCTTTTTTGGGACTGGGCTTGCGCTCTTTTGACACATGACCTGCAAGCGATACAGTCTGTTCATGTAGTGAGGCCCACCGGCTGCAGAGCTACGGTGGGACTTCAAACGTTTCCCGGTTTCTCTCTAGTATGCATGATCAAGAGATTTTTCAAATCTGAAATGCACAAATGGGCTATGGACTCAAGGGAGATACATACTGCATTATTGAATCTCTGGGATGAGCTTGTATATACACTTAAATGAAGACAAGAGAGGTATAACTTGTACGGATACGATTGCTGCTAGAACTGCAAATATGTGATTGGTGATGCATTCAAAACATGCGGGAGGCCACCATGCGGGAGGCCACCACGCGGGAGGATAACTATGTAAGTTACTCGTATGGAACAAGGCCATTGAGAAGTGCCCAATGTGCAATAGATGGGACGTGGAAGCCTTTATTGGTACGTTGTCGCTACCATTGGAAGAATCGTCATTTTTCGACATCGGCATCATCGGCATCACTATCCTACGCATTGTTCATATAATACTCTTCCGTGCGCAGCTGACGTCAACTTATTGGAGAAACTGAACTCCCCAAAAATGCGTTTATTACTTATACCAAACATCTTAAACGCGAAGAGACGATGGCTGAAGAGATTGTGGGTGGATCAACCAAACTGTGGATGAATCACCTATCTTTCCATCCGACTTTTCAAGATTTGAAAGATTTGAAGAGAAGTGTTCGTCAATAATTCTCCGTTTTTACGTTGAAGACTAAGTTTATAATTCAGGAATGATCAGACAAAGGCGGTGATACTTTTTTCGAGAACCGAAGAAAGAAAGCAACTAGACCGAAACAAAAAGGAAAAGCTTCGTTCTATGAAATGACAAAGCAGGTGGGGAGAGGGATGGCATTGGAAACGAGCATATTTAGACTGGACTCTGTTTGTCCTCGCATGCTTGACCTCTGCATGGCACCTGTTGGGTTTACTACGACGGCCGCCAAGGAAGCTCCAGGGTTATTCATTGATGCGGTTACTCTCCCAGCCGAAATTGGTGGCTATGAAGTAATGGCCAAGGATATTTGCCAAAATATCATATATACAGACATCACGATGTATCTCATGAAAATGGTGTGTCAAGAAAGTATTCCAACGGCACATCCTGATTCCAGCAGTTTCGAACTATGCCTGCCGTTCCTTGACAACCAATACGATATAGCAATTTGCGGAGAAGCCGTAGGCAGAGATCATCCCAGAGAAAAATATCGCAGCCACTGTGAGTCTCAACGTTTAATGGTCTCCCAACTAGTATTTGCAATGCATTGTCTGAAGCCTGGTGGCTCCATTATGCTGCTTCTTCATCGCATCGAGTCTTGGGATACGGTATGCATCCTTCATGCTTTCAACAAGTTCTCCGATATTCGGCTCTATAAACATGCCAAGGCACATGCTATTAAATCATCATTTTATCTGGTCGCAAGAAGAGTTAACCTGGAACACCATACTGCCAGACATTCCATGGATTATTGGAAAAGTCTGTGGCGATACCTGACATTCAAACAATTCCAGGAAATTCAATTTAGCCTATTAAGTCTGTACGAGTCGATGATGTCTCCTTGCAAATTATGATAAACGAGTTTGACCTTCAGTTTCTCAGACTAGCGGAACCTATCTGGAAAATTCAGGTGGACGCGCTTCGCAATGCCCCTTTCATGCGACAAGCGTAACATGTTAGCTTGATCGAACTACTGAACAACAAACGTGTCATTTGCTTTCACCGTGCTCAACTTTATATGCAATTGGCATATCATTATATAGTCGTTATTTCTTGAAAGACCGATGAGCGGGTGAGACCGGGAGTGCTTTGCAATTCAACACTGCGCATTCACTATAGGATATAAGTATATGAGTTACCTTCCCATGAGAATTGTGCACAGGAGCGTCTGACACTTCAACCTTTCATGTCTTCGCTCGTGGACCGCAATCTGGCCTTGTAGTCCACATTTTGCCACGGGGCATAATATCAATTCCTTGTTTACCTACAATATTTGTGCATCAGAAGACGACTAATACAGAATGGCGACGGGAGGCAAGGAGTAAGGCACCTCTATACAAACCAGCCATACTGGTTTTGGGAAAAATTTCTGCTACTCGACTGGCATCACGAAGCCACTAAATGGAAATACATGGTATAAATACAATTCAATCTTGCAACTAAATCTGTTCTCGTTAATGTAGATTCGTGTACCTAGAGATGCATAGAATAAGATTCGGCACGTATTTGAGTTTGTTCAAGTGCTGTTAAAAAGAGGAACTCCCCCATTTTCCGAGCCAGAGTCTTCACCAAGATCCGTTCCTGCGTCTGGACAATCCAAAAGGTCTGTGCTGGGTGGACTGTTGGACGTGCTTTGATGACTTTGTGAACACGTACTTGAGAGAGTCTCGGGAGTTTCTGCACCGGATACCTCGAGCGATTCAGAGTTGATGCCAAATTCCCGGATATCCGTAATGTTTGTGTTTGAATCTGGATGCCAGCGGTTTGATGGTAAGCGCTGCAAAACATGGGTAGTCACTTGTTCGCGAAGGTCTTGCGTCATCTTGTTCAGAATATCCTTTTGTTGCCTGGCGGCAGGGTTTTTGTCGTCAAATTGTTGCACACATAGGGGACTCCACTTCGTCCAAATTTTGCGGTGAGAAGAATGCACCATCACACGGGCTGGGTGATATTTCAAATACATTTCGCAGCAGAGGCAAGCTGGCTTACTACAAGCGATGAAACGATCGGCACCCGCGAATGCCATTTGCATCTTGTAGAAGTAATCCAGCACTTGGACCTCTGCATAGACCTCGAGCAAGGAGCTATAATATGGATGCAGAAATGTTTTAAAAATCTCGGCCACCTTGTTCAAGTGGAGAAGACCATCCTCGAGCATTTTTCTTTCACTATCCTTGTTCGTAAACATCCGGTTCAGAATACCCCGAAGATTGGTATGCGAGTCACGAATGGGTGGAGGTACTGCGGATAGTGGATAAATCTTGCAGACAGCGTGGTTATCAAGAAGAGGACTCAGGTCCGAGGTATCCCTAAGTAGTTGTTGAATAGCCCGTATATGGTGAGCAAGCCGCCCTATGTAATGTTGTACGAGGGCAAAAGATGAGCGCCTGCTGGTAGGACCTGACCGTCTCTCCTCTTCCAACCCCCGACTCGAAATCTCATTCATAGAATCGCAATGGCGGTTGTCGTGCGCGAATTTGCAAAGTCTGAAGTGGTCGTCGAAGCCAATAACTGTTTGCAGCCATTCAACCAATCGTGAACCTTTGCGTCGATTAACATATTAGAGGAGGCCCTGTATTGATAGATGAAAGGGATGGGCACACCGGAGCCAGCATTTTGTCTGTTCAGCTTGGAAAGTCAGACTTTAGCGTTTCTGCGAAGACAATTGCCTTCCTCTTTGATGCGCTCAGCAGCAAATCCAATGCATAGCTGAAAGAACTCTGATTCTGTGCAAGCATCATTTGTGCCAGCTTGATGGGCTACGGCCCGCAAAACGTTGAGGACGTTTTGGAGAAACGCAGCGATTTTATCGATTTCGTTATTCGAAGCAACAAAGAAGTTGTAGCGCGTATCGAGCTCCTCAAGCCCAATTGCAGTGCATGTACTGCCTCCCTTTCTGAAATCACAAACGAAACAAAGATTTTGCAGAAATCGTCTGCGTCGTGCCCGGGCAGCATCAAGCTCGAAAGATGAAGTTTTGTGGTTACCACGTGTCTGTCCAAGTGCATTCAAAAGAAACAGTTGCTCGTAAAATCGGCCGAGAAGCCTCTGGTATGGGTCAAGCCTTGGGCGACCGACACGTTTTGGATCAATCTCTAGATCTTTGATTAGAGTTGCCGGGCGCATGTTTCTGATATTTGTCTTTCCCACATGCGTGCAAGTTTGAACTGCCTGTCAAAAGTAGGGATCCGAAAGGAATATGATTATTCATGAATATTCCTGAATATTTGCGAATATGAATAATATGAATTGAATAATATGAATATGAATAAGCCCTTTATTCATATTCGCAATATTCATGAATATATGATTAATTCATATTTATTCATATAATAAGATACCATACATTACCATTCGTTTCATTACATCCGAATACATCAATCATGCTCAGACACTTTGTTCCATAGCGAATTATGTGCCTGTCTTTAATTTCGAAGCACTGAAAATTACATGCATGCACCACTGGAAATTTAAGTCTGAGACTTTCCTCTCAATAGCATCAGCCATCGCATAGTCTCCGCGTTCAGACGGTGCCTTCGGAGGCCCAAGACATCTCGAGCATTGCTGAACTCGCGTTCAATCCCGACCTCTGCCGAAGGGATGGGTAGATAATCGCGAGCGGCTTTTGCCATGAGTGGAAAATTAAACGCGTTAGCCTTCCACCACTTTAGGACCCATTGTGCGTCCGCATCGCCGATCATGTGGTGGGACCAGTTGACCGGCGGGGAATCCAAGTACTTATCAATATCCGACAAAGATGCCTCTTTGGATGGCTGGACTTTGCGCAGAGTTCTCCACATTGTTTCCGACATCCCCGCTGGACGTGGATGGTCAACTTCACACGACACAAATGGCTCTGGAGGGTATTCTTTCTTAAGAAATTCCCGCACTTGCGAGACGATAAGCCCCGAATCTTGCTCGCTCATTTGAGACACAATCAAAGACGATTTGATGCGCGGATCCAACACGGAAGCCACATAGTAGAGAAGGTTGTCGTCCATTTTTCTAGCAAACTTGTTCATCTTCCGAATGCCTCTTTCCACCGCATCGCGAATTTCAATGTTCACGTCTTCAAAATCTCCCTCCGCATTTCGAACGTCATTTAACAAATCGTCCAAACTCCAGTAAATCGGTAGACTTTCCACAATTGTTGGGCATGCCTTTGAAACGGAGTTTGTGTGGTCCCAGAACGGCTTGAGGATCTTGGCTACTTGCTGAAGTGTCGACCATTCGTCGTCGGCAAGCTGGAGGGCCTGAACTTCTGGATGTATCCGCACAAACTGTCCCAGCTCAGTTTGTAGCCGAAGGGCATCTTGAATCATGATATACGTCGAGTTCCATCGGGTGTCAACATCATAACTGACTTGTTTTCCAGGTGATACTTCTTTCCAATCTTGGCGGCGCTGTGGGCTACGGGCGATCCACAGCGTCAGAAGTCGTATTTTCATGATTGCTCCTTTCATGCTGTGAAGGGAGTTGAATGCTGGGCTAGTATGAATGGCCATGTCGTCCAGTATCGCCTTTGCTTCTCGAGCCGAACCAGCCCTTAAAGAAGCTAACACATCTTTGCAAATCAGATTGAGGATATGGGCAAGGCAAGGAATGAAACTCTGTCGTCCGCGGAATCGCATTAGAGGCCTAATGCGAAAGCGGTCATCGTCATTATCATACTTCTTAAGGAGCTGGTCATGCAGGCTATCGCAAAGCGTCCCGTTATTGCCTGCATTGTCCCCTGTGATGGTCAGGAGCTTTGGCGCGATGTCCAGTTCGGCGAGCATCTTCAACACAACTTCCGCTAGATTCTCTCCAGAATGCGGTCCATTGATCTCGGTGAACTCGAGAAGGTCATCTCGCTTTTCAAAATCGGGGGTGATCCAATGACCAATGATACCCATTATCGCAATCTGATTTTCCGACGTCCAAACGTCGAGAGACAAAGCGAGTGTGCGGCTGCTCCTAGCAAGCTCCTCTTTCACGTAAGCCCTACTTGAATGGAATTCCTCCTTGATTCGGTTAAAAAGAGTATCAGCAGTCTTGATGGGCAAAGAAGCCCCCGTTGCTTCAATAAGTGCCTTGAAAGCCGGATGCTCCACCACTGTGAAAGGCTGTCTAGTTTGAATGACCCATCGGACTAGCATTTCTTCAACGCCAGCCTTCTTTCTCGGCGACTCCAAGAACCGGTCGAGGCTTCCTGCGGCCGTGGGTAAGAAGATGGAGTCGGCCCCAGACTTGATACGATGCTTGGTCTGGAGATGCACCAACAAATTCGAAGTGGAACCATAGCGCGCCGAATCTCTGGAGGACCAGCTGCAATGTTTGCAAATCAGTAGTCGGTCTTTTTTCAGTGGGCCACCCTGCCGACACCAAGTGCTATCCAGATCTGTGGTCCAAAAGTGCTCAATGGTCCAACTAGAGTACGACTTGGTTTTTCGTCTTTTATACGGGTGCGGACTACTCGTATTGCTCCTGCTTTCCGAAAAGGCAGGATCAAGTGGGGAGGGCGAAGAGCTAGGCAAAGAATAAGTCTGCTTCGTCTGAGGCGTGTCTTCGGTGTTCCTAGATGGGGAGGGCTCAGGAGAGTAAGGGCGTCCTGTTTCACAGATAGATTCCTCAGACTGCTCCGAAGGTGACGAAACCAGGCCATTGTGTAGAGCATTATAGTCTCGACGTGGAAGACCACGCGTCCTCCGCAGGGACGGATTAGGTGTAGATGCCATGCTACTGTTTCCTGGTATCAGTATATCAAAAGGGTATCGACGGTGATGCATAACGTACCTTGAGCTACCTGGGCTGGGGTTAGAAACTGATAGGGGACTTGAGGATAGGATGATGGTTGACAGGCCCAGTCATGTTCGCGCTTTATATGCCCTTCTTGACGTGAAAAGTTGATAGATCTCTTTTCTGTTTTCTGCAACGCGATATTTACGATTCTGAACGTAAACAAATGCAGCCAGGGTCATTGGAGGCTCTGGGTCGTGAGGCAAACGCGTTTTTACGTGCCATTTCTCAGGGCTACTTTGTGCCCCAAGTTTGAAATGGATTGGAATGGAATCAGAGAACTGAGAAAATCTATTCAATTAATTGCCTAAGATGATTCGCAATTAGGTTGACAGATATATATAATCTTCACGGATCTTCGTGGCCGGTGTCAAGTTTCTATGGACAAGACCCATGTGAATGAGTATCATGTCTCAAAAAGATCCACTACGGTACATCAAGCTGGTCAACCCTACAAAAGCAGGTTGTACCTTCCAGCATATATTCGCAACGGAAATTCATAGTCCAGCGTTGCTGATGAAGTGATGGCATTGTGAAATCTGTCGAACTGAGGGGTGGTATTTTACCACTAAGAACAGGGATATTCATCAAGTACCCATTCTGTCTCTGTCTCTGTATGGTAAACGGGGTACGCTCGGCATACCAGCGTCGTAACACGCTAGGAACGACTCCTGAGATCTGTTAACGCTTCAACAGCAAGATCCAGATAGAACAACATCAATGCATCTCAATGGGACACCTTAATACTAGCACATACCAGTATCTGTCAATCCGACAGTTATGAGCCCGGTTGCCCGTTGCAATATCCATTAAGATATATCAGACCTCTCTGCTCTGTATCTTAGCGACGTGTATAATATTCCGCAGTGCCGGATACCCCTGAATAGCTCGGATACCTCTGAATCGCCCGGTTACCCCTGAACGGCACATGCGAGCGTTGCCAACGACCGATTGCGAACAGGACGATAAAGTACAATAAGGGAAAGCAGTATAAGGATGTCAGAAGGCCTCTACTCAGAAGAACTGAGGGCAGTGCCTCAGGACCAGCGACTACGGTCGGAAAGTCAATGGAGAGTCTGGATCGGCCACATACGCTCAGCAGCTATCTCTGAAGATGTGTGGGACTATCTGAATCCAGATCTTGCAGAAGAGAGCGTACGACAGGTTCCCGAGGCCGCCCGAGAGCCTCAACCTAGCAGTATTCGCGAAGATGTGGAGGATGAGTTTGAACTCACAGAGAAGGAATTTACCCAGTGGACTCGACGCATTCAAGCCTATGATAGGCGTGAGGCTCAACGGGTGCGCCTGCTGAAGGTGATGGCACGCATGAACAGCCTAATCACACGTTCTCTCGCAACCGAGTATCACTATCTCACAGTCGATGAGGTTTCGCCGTATCAGAAGCTTGTCAGGCTAGCTCGTGAATTCAAGCCAAAGCCAGAGACCCGGACCGAAGAGCTTCGAGCTGCGTGGAGGGCCATGATCAAACAACCAACGAATAACGTCAATACAGATCACTGGCTCACTCAGTGGACGAGTCTATATGAGGAAGCAAAGTGTGCAGATGTGCCTGATGTGGTATACAGTGTCAAATACGCTATTCGAGACTTCCTGCGCGCTATTCAGCCTATAGATGACGTATTCTGTACCACGTGGCAGGAGAAAATCCTCATACACGATATATCCTTCCACGACGTTATCTCCGCATACCGAACACGCCGTAAGGCTCTTGGACAGTCAGCGAAGAAGGGATCGTCGAAGGTTGCACTTGCCACGCTAGATGGTCAGCATGAGGCTAAACCTGGTCAAAATAAGTCAAAGCCAGCGGAGAAAACGTACCGTACACGGTGCCCGTGTGGTAATGGTGCCCATACGTATCAGCAGTGCTATTATCTCAACAAATCGCAGAGGCCAGAAGGCTGGAACCCGAACGAAGCTGTAGAGAAGAAGATCCCTGAATTCATCAAGAGGATGAGCCCCCAGGACCAGGAAGCCATCGCAAAGCTTACCAAGGTCGAATCAGCTCAGTTTGCAGCCTCAGAAGATCAGCAGTCGTCCGAACAGATTATCTCTATGTTTTCGCATAATCTTGCGGTACAAGCGGCACAAGAGGGTGATGAGTTTCCGCTAAAGGATAGCTGGATCGTCGATACTGGCGCGAATACTCACATCAGCAACGATCGTGACAGATTCATCTCATTCACTCCTGCTGACTACACTGTCATCACCGGAGACGCTTCTACAAGAATCCAGGGCTTTGGAACGGTCAGACTGAACCTCACAGACCCCAAGACCGGAAAGATCTCTATCGGAGAGGTCTCGGACGTACGGTATTCGCCAGGATTCCACACGAACCTACTTTCGGCGTCGAGACTGAAGAGCAAGGGATTCATCATGAATATCGAGTTACTGGCACTCGTTCGCCGCGGTCAGCCTATTGCAAAGCTAGAGGAGAAATGTGGGCTATACGTACTCGAATACCGGCCAATTCCGGCTGGATTCGCTACAATCAAGCATTCAGAAAAACCATTAATATCCTCAGCCACCGCCGAGCGTTGGCATCAACGCCTAGGTCATATGTATGATCAGCGTATCGAGAAACTTGCAGAACTCGTTGATGGAATCAAGATCATTGGTCAGCATGTCGATGATGCTGCCGGCAATCCTGAGAGATGTGAAGTCTGTCAAATGACTAGCGCAAAGCGCCAAATCTCGAGAAGAGCTCATGGAACCAAGTACGGCAGATATGGTCGAATTCACTTTGACCTTGTGCAGATAGAGACAGCATACAACGATGATAAGTGGATGACACACTTCTACCTCGAAGGGATACGCCTACATGCCGCCTCAACACACCAGAAGAAGAGTGGTTGTCAGGATGCAGTCAAGAATTTTGTCGCGTTTGCAATAACACAATTGAAGTTGCCAATTCGAGCCTTCCGCTATGACAACGAGCGCGCTGCCGGCCGCACGGTAGAAGACTTCCTCCGTGAATGTGGCTTCATCGTGGAACACAGTGTGGTGGGCACACCAGAGATGAACAGCTTCGGTGAACGATCTGGGGGGTGATAATTGCGAGGGCACGAGCCTTACTGTTGGAAGCAGGCTTGCCGAAGGCTCTCTGGCCAGAAGCTGTTAAAGCAGCTGTATACATCATCAACAGATCGCCCACTAAGCTTCCAAACGGTCAGTGGATTATTCCGTACGCTGAGGCAACAGGAATCGATCACATGCAGCCAAAACAACGCATCAACCTCTCAAATCTGCGGTTATACGGATGCCGCGCTTACGTGCGCCGCCAAGATATTCCAAAGAGCCACAAGATGGAGCCGCGCGCGGATATCGGATATCTAGTAGGCTACACAGCCTCGAACATCTGGCGAGTGTGGTTTCCGCACAGAGGAGCCGTGCGAGAAGTCAGGGACGTAGTATTCGACGAGAATCTACGATATGACCCCAAAGAACTAGTAAAGCCACCCATTAGCGACGTAATCGAAGCTATGCCATGGGAAATCGGTGAAGATGAGCATGAGGACATCGAGCAGCTCACACAGCGTGTCAGCCAGCCAGAAACAAACGAGCCAGCTAGTGAAAGCACTCAGCAGTCACCAGAAGCTATACCGGACGTTCAACGCCAAGAAAATGCCTTTGAACCACCGAAATCACCAGGCCAACCTCAGCAGACGGTCACGCCGTCTCTAACACCCTCGGCAGAGCCACAGCTTCTGCCGGCGCCTCAGGCGCAGCAACCATCTCAAGGAGCATTTCCCGGGGATCGAGGGCCCGCACAACATGCGACAGCACGTCCAAGAGCACCAAGAGATATTGTGGGAGATGTATCGGACCAAAACATCGTCTCTGGAGCACGGAAGAGGAAACCAGTGGACCAGGCATTTACCGCCGCGCTAGAAGAGCCAGAGGACTATCATGAAGGTGTGTTAGCAGCGTTCGCAACAGGACTAAACGCTCCTCACCTTCATAACCTCGTGCACCGCGATGATCTGCCTTCAGAGCCTCAGAACTGGAAGGAAATGATCAATCATCAATATCACAAGGGATTTCTTGCGGCTGCAGGCCTTGAAATTGACACACTCACTCGTAAAAACACCTTCGAGGTAGTACAGCGTCCAACGGACCGCAGTATTCAGATCCTACCTCTCAAATGGGTCTTCACCTACAAGTTTGATAGCAATGGGTTCCTGAGCAAGCTGAAAGCGAGACTATGCGTGCGAGGAGATCTCCAGCGGATGACGGCAGAAGAAAAGTACTCAGCGACTCTCGCAGCGCGAACCGCGCGTGCTGTATTCGCCCTAGTTGCTGCATTCGATCTGGACACATATCAATATGATGCTGTCAACGCATTCCTCAATAGCCTACTAGATGAGGTTGTATACGTCTCATTACCACCAGGGTTTGAGAAAGATGGTAAGGCCAAGTGCTGGAAGCTTCTTAGAGCTCTATACGGCCTACGAAAATCTCCACGCCTATGGCAACGAGAAGCGTCTAAGATCTTCACATCTCTAGGCTTGCAGGTAGTGCAGGAAGATATTTGCCTCTTCGCAGCGGACGGCATCATGGTGTTCTTCTATGTTGACGATATCATCATTGTAAATCATTCTTCAAAGCATGCAGCAGCCAAACATCTGAGAGAAGAGCTCAACAGACACTGGGAGCTTCGAGATATGGGAGAGGCGCAGTGGTTCCTCGGGATACGCATTATCCGTGACAGACAACAGATGGCCCTATGGCTCTGTCAGGATTCATATATATCCTCGATGGCTCACCGTTACCATCTTACTGGATCTCGCAGATATGATACACCACTCCCTAGTACCCCACTCAAGCCATTTGACGGCCAGGCGACGCCTCAACAGATTCACGAGTACCAGGAGAAGGTTGGCTCAGCTCAATATGCAACGACGATCACTAGACCGGACTCAGCGAAAGCGACGGCTACACTGGCTCAATTCCTCACAAATCCCGGTCCTCAGCACCTTGATGCAATCAATAGAGTCATCTCGTACCTTGACAGCACTCGGACATCGGCGATCGCGTACAGAGCGCGTGATCGATCACAGAAAAATTGTCAGATACCGGAGGCCGTTCAGTTCTTTAGTGACGCCTCATTCGCTGATAATCCCGATCGAAAAAGCTCTGAAGGATACACATGTATGATGTTTGGAGGACCTGTCGATTGGAAAGCTGGCAAGCAGCGTACGGTGACTACCAGTACAACCGAAGCTGAGCTCCTTGCGGTTTCAGAAGCTGCCAGGACCGTGGCCATGTGGAAACGGCTATTCAAAGCAATACGCTTTGATCCTGAGCATGAGCTAAACATCAAATGCGACAATCAGCAGACTATCGGGATCCTCGAAAAAGAAACACCTCAACTGCGCACGAAGCTCCGTCATGTTGACATACACCAGCACTGGCTCCGGCAGGAGGTTCAGAGCAAGCGCATCACCGTACACTGGGTGAAAACCGCCGATATGGTAGCTGATGGTCTCACAAAGCTACTACCCCGCCAAAAGCATCTCGAATTCATGCAATCGATGGGTATGGAAAATATACGGCAACATCTGGTGGTGGGCGAGGTCTAACGCACACATCTGCAAGAGCAGAAAGGGCACTCGCTGAGGGGGTGTGTCGAACTGAGGGGTGGTATTTTACCACTAAGAACAGGGATATTCATCAAGTACCCATTCTGTCTCTGTCTCTGTATGGTAAACGGGGTACGCTCGGCATACCAGCGTCGTAACACGCTAGGAACGACTCCTGAGATCTGTTAACGCTTCAACAGCAAGATCCAGATAGAACAACATCAATGCATCTCAATGGGACACCTCAATACTAGCACATACCAGTATCTGTCAATCCGACATTCTAGAAAGAATCTCTGTGTGCATGTGGTGAAACTGATTTCGATCCTCCCTGATCGATGATACTCTACCGGCGACGCACAGTAGGAAGCTGTACGGAAGACTCCTTAGGGGCGGGACTACCTGCTGACGCAGCTGCGCACGGGCCACAATTGGCTGTCCAACTATCGCAAGAAGATCGGTTATGGCGACGACGACCACTGCGACTGCGGCGCGCAAGAAACAGATATCCACGTGCTTGTGGACTGTCCAAGGTTGGTGGAGTTGCGGAGGAAGCTAAGGAGAGAAGTAAAGGACGCGTTCAATAGTGTGTCGACTTTGCTGGGAGGCTCAAAACAAGTGGCAGAAGAAAGGTTTACTGAGATGTTAGAAAAACCAGAACTTGGCTTTGTCCAAAAACGCGATGCGAACTGCCTGGAAGCTGGCGTGCCCGAATATATTGTAAAACCTGCCCCTTACGGGAATCATTCTTGGAATCTGGCTCAGGATGTCAAAATAACCACTTCGGAGAGAGTCATTTTTGCGCACTGCTGTTCCTGAAAACTACATACACCTTTGTTTCTTCGGGCACCGGAAGTTATATTTCAAGATTACATTGATTATCGTGTCGATTTATGGAGCATGATGAGCTGCATGATAGGTGAAATCATACTCGGGTAATCTATAAAAACCCAAGCTAATAGGTTGGCAGCTCTTTGAACTGTTCGTGGGCCAACCACCTTTCGACACATCCTTAATAACGCCCACAATCCTTGTTGGCCAAATGCGAGAGATGGCAACTGGTGAACTACCTGAAAGATGGCAAGATAAATGGAATACGATGAACACAGGGGACGTCATGGCCATAGAAAGGACCGGGCCCAACTTGCAGGAATGGCTGGAAGAAGTATATTTTGGTGACCCGCTGGGTCCCGATCTCACACGAGAGGACAGTGGGGCTGGGGCAAATCGTTGGAAGATTATTGCATTTTGAGTGGAGTTTTTCTATGAGGGAATTTTGTGCTACAGTATTATGGGACACCAGAGTCATTAAAATAGATGGAAAAATGATGGCGGGGGAAAAGTGTAGGCCTTAGCAAAAAGTAACGGGATGAGCGTCTATCATGCCGCACAGCAATTGGCTGGACATATTTGTCATTGTAATACCAAACCTGCATTGCTACAGTGATTCGCTCCAATTGGTTGCTTGAGTCGGACGTACCTGGCATGGTACGATATGGGATTAGCTCCTTTCGTCCAACAAAAAAAATCGATTTGTATGTTTTCGTTCTCAGTTGCGGATTTTCACACGCTACATTACAAAGGTTGATGCATGCTCCGGCAATCGGCTGGGGCAAAGCCTCCGCCCTGGACTGCAACAGGGGATCCAAATTTGGCCCACAATCAGATAAGGTTAGCTGGGAAAGTTGATTTCGTGGTTTTGCTAGGGGCCTATTGATATTTTATTTCACTTGTTGCATCAACGGGCCGGACAAGAAGAAGCAAAAAAGGAATGGCGATAATAATGGCCTTTGGCTATACAACTGGTCTGCCTGTGGGCCATCGAGACTCTCAGTGGCGAGTTGTTTTGCACAATTTCCGAGCGTACCCTCAACTCTAGTGCAGCCACCATGCGGTGAGAGCAGCTCATTTAGACCAGAAAGCAAATAGATCTACAGTGGCCAAGAGTTGTCTTGTTACTGATTGGAAAGGGAGTGCCTTCAGTTCACCAATGGCTAGGTAATCACGGACGAAATCTCAACAGCCCCATTTGCTGTTTCTAACAGTCTGGGATTATAGAGGCTCGTTCCTCTCTTGCGGGACCCTAATCACCCTGAGGTGGATGATCCGGGACCCAATAAAGGTGCTCACATTGTCTTTAACCCGTGAAGTGACGAATAAGCCGTAAATGCCCTAACCGTCATCCACAGTGGCGCCCAGTGTCCGAGGATCAGAATCTTTACTGTGCTGTGTACCAACTCAAAGAATGCGAACTGATCCACACTGAGCTGGGTCTCCCTGTTTGTCCCCAAGCCTTGGATGTGATCTAACCCGCAGCAGCAGTGATAACAACGCCGATAGCTAGAGCTACTAGTCACTAATAGACCGCTACCTATTCAATCACCAAGTCTAATTAAAGTGAACCGTGCACTCATCACTGCAGTCACGATGTCCGAAGTAAGCAGGAGACTCCGAGTCGCTCCGGATGACCTCCGCTGCGCATAGAAACGAAGCAATCACATTATTAGTCTGGCAACTGTGGCTTTTGATACAGTGAGATCCAATCAGCTCACCCTTGGCGTGTATACAGGGGGTAGGCGTCATATCAGACGGTGTGCTAGTGTCTGTTTCAGACCGTGAGTCATATTATCTGCTTATGTGATGTTTCTGGCCTACACTACGGTGTTCTTGAACCAAAGGCTTAGATTGACAGGAACGGAACTTCTTGTCAGTTTCATTCCCGGGTCTATTCCGCTGATTACTTTGGCATTTGTCATTTTCTCAAGGTTCGATTTCTTGTCTTACCATGAATTTTATTCGCAGGAAATTCTAACTCGCAATATTTAGTGACCCAGTTCATTACCAGTGTGATCAAGAAAGATGAACAACGGGTTTTTTCTCATAAAAACCAAATTCGGCATCTGCCGTGTTGCAGAGAGCCTCCGACAATTTTACGTCCCATGGGAAGAATACCTAGAGAAGCGGAAAGAGGAGTGTGACTCCCTGGAAAATATTTGCAAAGTATCTGGAATCAGCGTGAGAGGTTGGCTCTGCAGATGGCAGAGGGGCGAAATACGGGCCTCCCTGGGACAGCGTGCTAAGCATGACTCTTCGCCAAATATGTACGAGGCATGGGGGGGGAAAGTTGATCCCGGAGAAAAGATATTAGAAGCTTTGATTCGGGAATTCTTCAAGGAGACCGGCCTGATACTTACTTGCATATATGATCAAGTGGGCGACAACGACGTGTTTCATACACCAAAAAGCAGGAGATGGATTGAACAAATTCATTTCCTGGTTCAGGCCAAGAAGTCTCGAAGGTCTCTAAAGTCTTATCGCTGTGGATCTTACCCCGTCGTCATGGATCCGAACGAGCATCAAAATTTTATGTGGGCTCCTGGCAGACTTGACGCATTGGAAAATCTTCTAATGACGGGAGCTACCAGAAACCACTTTGAATCAGCAATTGCAAAGTTCAGGGAGAAGGTTCCTTGTCCCAAATGGCAGAAGCCTTTGGCTTTTTTCTGGGGATGCATTTGAATAGCTAGATGTTCGAATGCCAAGGAATGGAGTGACTCCGGGCTGTGGATGTGGACTTGATTCTTCGGATCTAGTGAGCCTTAAGGTGCTACAGCTCTGTTCAGGCTGTAGTTTTAGGAAGATGCTACCTGAAGACGTATATTGTGAAGTCTCGAATACGAGGATGTCCACCACCATCGATCAAGAACAGAAATTCGATTTGGGCTCCTGGTCTCGCTGGCACTTCAATCCGGAATGTGCATCGATCTCCAGTGAGCGTCTCCATTTTTTAGCTCGGCCCTCGCAGCAACTGCACACAGTCTGCATACGTGCCTACCCGCACTACATCTTTACCACACTGCAGTTTACACTTTGATTAGCAAAACATGTCTCTGTTATCTTGTATAGCCTCCGTTCCATTTCGGAATCTGGAAGGAGACCGAATAGTCGGCTCAATGTCCCCATAGTTCATGGCTCATGTATTGTTTCCGCCCAAGTCATAAAAGGTTGCTCTAGTGCTCTTGTCTTTATTTCTCTCCCATCACTACTCTGCTCCGTACTTCATTTGTCGGAACGAAACATTTCCGTCCCTAGTGATTTTGAGCATTCATGAAGAGGTTTGCCAGCCCTGGAAAAAGCTTACACGAGGTACACTGCGAGCAAACGCGTCTGGATTTTAGAGGTCGATAAGCGAAAAGCAACCCTTTTGCGAGTCAGTCGGTCGTGAAAACCCCAACCCCGGAATTTTGGCCTATAATAAAATGGTCAAAACCTTGCACGACCATCATCGCATGCTTTGCTATTTCAAATTTGTTCAGAACTAAATATCGTTGATTTGTTCATGATTAATATTCCCCAGAGACAAATTCATGACGGGGTGTTCAAAACAACATGTAATCCGCCGATGACAAGTGGTGGATGTTAAGTGGATCCATTCCTAAGCTCAATTCTACGTATTTTTTACACAGGCTGAGGGCAATAGGATCAAAAGCAGAAAAGTGGGGGGGGGTGGGTGAAGTCTTTTTTGGGACTGAAGAATAAACATCCAGTGAGACACTGCCGCGCTGACTGCCAGTTGCAGGTAACAGGCAGACGAAAAGGGGAAAATAAAAGATGGCCATTTCGTACTTGAAAGGGAACGGAAACGCTTCACCAATTTTTTTCATGAAAAGGACGAGCCTCTGCTCGGCGATGTGGACATGCAGGTCGTCAGACAAAATGAGGAAGAGATGAGTATGACTCCGTTCCTCAGGATACTGGATTACACAATATAGAGACAAAGACTGTGCCCAATATTCATATAATCAAAAGTTTCTTGTCCCTTGAAAGGTATTCGAATAAATCCTCCTCATTTAGTAGATGACTCATTTCTGAATTGCCGAAAGTTTCTGACGACAATAGGAAATGAGCCAATCCAAGTTCTTCCTGTCACCTTCTATGCGGCCGCTGATTAAATTCCAAAACAGCGCGCGTACAGTGGGAATAGGTGAAAGAAATTGATTGCCGAACTATGAGAAATCATTCTTGCCAGTGGCCCTCGACAAAGCCATACACTGGCCTCTATTGATCTGGGCAATTGTTACCTGGGCTCAATTTTGGTCCTTTTACAATACTTCTGTGCGGCTGAGTTGGTGAGCAAGGCACTAGTTCGAATATCAGGCGGTCTTACACCTTGGCGGGTTTGTTGTCCGGCAGTATGCCCCAACTGTTCCATATCATGTTAGATAGATATGTACACAACTAGAGACGAGATCGTTCACCATACGTACCCTGTCGTGCTCCCTACTAGCTAAATAGATCCCGGTCTGAGACTTGTGGGGGCTTGGTGGGATATAATTGGACCAGCGTTATTAATTGTCTGGCATCGTTCGATCCTATCTGTCAGTATGAAGCAAGCTTTGAAATCAGTGCGAGGGCTTATGGTTTGCCACCATTTGCAAAGAACAAGTATATCAATGGGTCGGTAGTGTTCAATTCCTCACCACCAAGGTTGATGCAAGCTCCAGCGATTGGCTGGAGCAGAGTCTTTGTCTTGGGCTGTAACAAGAAAGAGTCCAGTATTGGCCCATAATCAAGTTAAGGTGAGTTGGAAAGGTTCTTGGAAGTTGGACGTTCAAATCGATAGCCTTGGCTGAACAGAAGGATCAATATATCGCAACTGAACCGTAGAAGGGTGGTTTGTTCGTATTCAATTCCGATGATATGACGGGTCATATGGTCGAGGTCCAAAACACGCTCTTTTTGGCCGGCATTGTGTACATCCAGTAAACGAATTTGGCTTTTGACTCGGTAGCACAGAAAGCCTTGGTGGTACAAGAAGTCTGCGGCATAAGCCAGCACTGAAACAGAATATGGGGACGCAGTGGAGACCGCTTCATGAACATCAAAGCGATGTTGGATGGCCTGATAATAGCCGGTCTTAGTGGCCCAAGCTACTTATCCTTCTTTGCTGTAAAGCAGAATATTCTAAGATAAGTTTCAGCATGGTGTGTTGGTCCATAGCGGGTAGAAAACGTTTGTTTCGTTATTCTCACCTTGACAATAGCCCGTGCAATGATGCTATTTTTCATTAAGCTAAACATTGAGCGGCTTGAGCGACTGAGGTGCATATAGTCTCGAATGTCGAGGTAGGCTGCTATGTGAAAGAGAATGTCGAATGGTAAGGACACCAAGGTAGGCGATGACTTCAAGGTAGGTGATGACGACATACTCTTTGACAGAGCCAGAGATCCAGGGCAAAATTGGAAGGGGGCAGTACAAGATGGCAGAAACGATCAGACACCAAGTGGCACAATGTGTCGAACTGAGGGGTGGTATTTTACCACTAAGAACAGGGATATTCATCAAGTACCCATTCTGTCTCTGTCTCTGTATGGTAAACGGGGTACGCTCAGCATACCAGCGTCGTAACACGCTAGGAACGACTCCTGAGATCTGTTAACGCTTCAACAGCAAGATCCAGATAGAACAACATCAATGCATCTCAATGGGACACCTCAATACTAGCACATACCAGTATCTGTCAATCCGACAGACCCTTTCATTAGCATTTCTGAAAATGGCGCGATACGGAACGAGTCTCATCCGGTGTAGCTATCAACGCGACCATATACTTGGCGCCAGATAGAAGATGGAGCCCTGGAGAGCCCTTATGCTTGGCGCCAATGAAAGCGCTGGAATTACGACCGAGTCAGGCCCTGGCCCCATCTCCAGAATCTTGTCGGTGTCCGCGGGCTCCGGGCGCGGGACTCTCAGAGATCCCACGGGCATGGAGTGTCAGTTCACAGTTGTATTGCGACTTCCGTCTCCATACTGTTCCTTTTTTTTTACAGGTAAACGTTTCCAAATTAGTTAAATCACTGATGTTCTCTGTGGGGCACCGATTCATGCTAACGAATTGATCATATTTCATCCAGCCGGGTGCTCTATGCGGCTTCTGATTAGGGGACCTATAGATATCAAGAGGCCAAGTCTTTCAATCTTGGAAGTACTGTACCGAGAGACATTGAGTCTATTTATACCCAAGTCCCCATTTGTCTCTACGTCGGACTTCCATCACTACTCGACAAGGATAAAATATAATTCCAAGGTTTGGCAAACTGCTGCAAATAATGCAATGGCATTCCAATTTCTAGAATATGTCACCAAGGCAAGAGTCTATTATACTTCGGCGAGGTGAACTCTTGTATACCAATCACTGGCTGAAGCAAACAAAGAGCAAAGGAAGTACAAACCAGCCACGCCAAGGGCGGCCCAACCGGGGTAAGGCCCGGAAACCCCAAAGGCAAACATCACAAAAGCGGCACCAGTCAAGCAAATGATTTTTATCACAGGTAGTGATCGCACAAGCAAGCTATGACCCTCTCCCTTACGTCGATTTTTCGATCCCATAGTAGCGACCAGGAAGGAGAAAAGGATACCATAGAAGATGCAAAAAGCCAATACCAAAGGTGTTAAACCCCAGGGGTAAAAGGAGATCTGCAAAAACCCCAGGCCTTCCAGGCCGTTAAACGTGCATGCCCGTATGAGACACCAAAGAGAAAGAGAAACGACAGAGAGAACCAGCGTTACAGCGGGAGCGGTCAGAGAGCCGGATGCGTAGTAAAGCTCGTAGTCAGGATGGTCATTGAAGGTCCGACGGGCCAAATCTCGCACAACCGGCAAGTGGAGCTCGCTGTAGGCCGGCAGTTCAGAGGCGTGCTCACTGCGGTCGACCGAAACAGAGCACAGTTGGCCCTGAGGCTCCTCCACTTCTTGAGTCTTAGATTCTTGAGATGTGTCAGCAACTACTGGAAGAGCCCAATTACAGATATACTTTGAACTCACCCGGATAGAAAAATTCAAAGGCAGTTACCAAAGGAACAGCAAGAAGTGCAATAGACATGACCTGACCGAAGCTCCACTCCATGTCTTCTTTATTGAGAAAGAGACGCACGGTGTTGAACAAACGCTGAACACCCCAAATGAAGCTGATAATGAGCCACCAGACCTGGGTTCTCAGTAAGCTTGGGTTAAATTGAATCATTGATGAACCCACCTCAAAAAACATTGAATCCCAGGTATCTACTAGGATACGTAGAGTGAGGAAAAGGGCCAAAAGGGGCCGATACAACAGAAGCCTTTGCAGACTATGAAGGAAGCTTGGAGTAACACACCAGCCTTCAATCGTTCGAAGGGGTTTGCGTAGCATATGGCTGATTCTCCCGCGGATAGTCCGAGCAAGAAAACTTGACAGACTCTGGTGCAATTTTAACACTCTGCACACAAAGCCAACAAACACCAAAACGACTGATATAGACATAGCCATCATAGAAGAGTCACTTAAGACATGACCGTTATCAACCGAAACATACATATAATTCGGAGCTGGATCAGGGCGTTGTACTGGTATTAGGTAGCAGATGGCATAGTCCTGAGGTGCAGGACGACCGGTGCTTTTTGCAGAATATCCATATTGCCATCTGTAGTTGGCCGTTGGAAGGAATGCCAAGATCAGTAGTACAACTAATACAAACATACAGATGAGCCGCCAGATTCGTTCTGCCGGCCGCTGATGTAGGTAGTTTCGGAGAAGAGTCAGACATGAGAGATGGGTCAGGCTAGAGAACCATGCTAGGTAGACAAGCACCTGCCATTGGTATGTCGAGATTCCGCATTTGAGCTGTGCCGCACCGCTGACAATGATAGAGATGCCGGTAATGATTTGAATATCACTCATAGAGAGAATGCACTGTGTTTTCGTTTGAGTATTGCTGAGCATTGATCAATCTAGGAGCTCATTGCTGTAACATACCTTGACGAGCGACTTTTCGAGCCGGGTATGATTTTTCCGCCCTCTACTCATTGTGCCAAATGCCTTGAAAAAGAGTTCTCGTGGGCCTCGAAGCACTATTTCATCAATTGGGTTCGGTCGTGGCCGTACACATAGTAGAGGATTGGCCTGCTTGTCTCGAAAAGGGTCCAGACGAGGTTCATAGGAAGACAAGTAGTGAAACACAATAATGAACACCGCGATGCCCGCAGTTGCACAGTATCCTATCAAAACCTTCGAAGGAAGGTAAGCGTTTCGACTCGCAAGGTGAATTCGCAATTGGCTATACTCACTCCGATCCCTGTGATGTCATTATCTTCGTTGATATCAGTCGGGTGCACCGAGCAATCGTAACTGCACATATTGATAGCGACTTGCTTGTGCCCTTTTCGGGCATTGATTTTTTATCGTTTCCGACCTACAACAATAGGTGGCTGACAGAAATATTTCCGCACCGGCGGGGTTGGATACGAAGGGGGCAGAGCGGCCAAATGTCGGAACCATGGAATCCGGATGCCTGGTTTGCGTGGGGGATTTTCCTAAGGCGGACTAGCCCATTATTAGTCAACAAAACTAAAAAGGTTAGATATCTGTATTAATACATGTATTACGATGACAGAGCCCCCTATCCTCAGCGCTGGTATTCCATTAAGACAGAATGAGCAAAGATATTCGGCCTTGCCATATCTCCTAGATACTTGGTTTTATTTCCCTTGATTATGACAATTCGTTTGGGAGTGCAAGAAAATGACCGACGCCGACAAACCTCGCAAACAATAGCGAGTAAAATGGCCCGGACTGAACAGACACAGTACATATATGGCAATTTGATGGACGCTCAAGGATGTTAAAAAAGATTCCGCTGAACTGAAAATCAAGAGACTGATTGTGGTGTGAATTTGCGATGAGCAATCCCCAACAACCCTCCAGCAATGAGACCTTTCTCGCTGCGCCTTGTTAATGGAAGCCATTACTCAAAAAGCACCTCATAGTCAAATCGGTTGTCACAAATATGAGTCATGTGCTATAAACGGTGGCAGTCTTGAAATCATCCTTCGTGGCCCTGGAAATGTCGTGCGCTGGGCTCGCTCGCAATCTCATGCGCATTCCCCTGTGCAGTCTCGTAATAGTCGGGAGCACTACGGAAATCTTCCTTCGCAGTATCTGTAATTGTCGACCTTCGTCGAACGTGGGTGTCTCGGCAGGCCAAGACAAAGAACAGGAGGTGAAGAATTCTGAAGCAAGGTCAGCAATAGTTTTAGTATATTGACCGTCGAAAATCATGTACCCAGCTACAAGTAAGAAGATTGCAACAATGTCATTCCCGCGCCCATACGAATAGCCACTTGCAGCTCTGGCGTTGAGGATTCCGAAAAAGAAGTGCACTACTGCAAGAGCAAAATCCAAGGCGGTGACGAACCCTGGATGAATGGTACGCTCGGTGAGAGAGAAGATCGAAACCAGGGCAGACCAAATGGTTGTCACCGCGAGCTGCTCAATGTCAATCAGTCAGACGTGCTTTGACTTGGCCTTTCAAGCTGGGGGCTGCATACGATAATGTAATAGATCACTCCAGACGCTGGGTAGTAGGTTCCCATTGCTATACAAACGATACCAATCAAAGCAATAAGAGCATTAAAAGCTCGAACAGCTGTCCTCGGCCCCGGTGTCTCTGCAGTCCACAAGTCGCGAATGATGAATCCCATGATGATTGCGGGGAGAGGCCAGCAGGGGATTGAAATAGCGGCGCTTGGTAGGCAGAAGGATGTTTGGGACAAGAATGAGATCAATAGAAAAGAACAAGATTGAATATAAGATGCAAGTGCTTTACTAGATGGCTCAGGGTGTTGAGATATGTTCTGACCAACCTACTTATATCGCGCGACGAGGCGGTGTTGGCGCCGATCGCCTACGTTGTATCCATGTCATAGCCAATTCAGCCTTGCACTCAAAAATACGTTTATCTTGTCTTGGATTTTATTGAGAATTGCATGCTGGTCTATCATTCGTTCATGTAAGGATGGATCTATGCAAGGATGCCTTGGTACTTCGGCGTCTAGCCCGCCAACGAAACCCGTCAAATGAACCTATCGAGGGAAAAAGAGTGTTTTTAAAAAGCTTTCCTGGTCTCATTTACCAACAGCTCCAAAGAGGAACCTCACTATATCACCAGGGAACAATAGACAACGACTTGAAGTAGTTTTGCCAGATGCTGCCTCTTATTTGGGCAAGCATGTAGGGCCAGGATCTCGGGAAGACTCCGCAAATCTCTCGATGACACACTAACCATTTCGGGAAAATGCCCCAAAGAATATATGTTCAAATTACCACATGCCACAGCCTCCCTTGGCGGAGTGGGAATGTGGATCCTCTCCTCCATGCCCTGCATGAGTTTAATGGACTGTCAGGACTGAGGAGACATTTATCATTTTCTTCTATGACTCGCATTCGGATACACCAGGAGGTTGTATCCAATGATTCAAACTACGTATTATGGCAACCAAAAATGTATATGGATATCTCCGTGAGCCTCCCTGGTTCTACGCGATGGGGATAAGTACATGGATGCTCCACGGCATACGAATAGGGAAATTCGTTATGAGGCGGCTCGACCCGCTTCTTGACTCGAGATGTCTGCGTATCGAGCTACTGCCGCGATAAAAATGGCTCACAGCCTTCTACATAAACATAACGGTTCAACGATCGGGGAAGGCACACATCATCAACGGAAAGGGGGAATGAGACCAGGGATTTTCGGGACTCGGCTCATGAAACTTTCCTAGAATGTTCGGCTTTTACAACCACGGTGTACATGACAAGGCTGTGACTGTGGGGAATTGGGTGGGGAATCAGTTCATGATATCCTTCAATCACGTACTCCTGGGCGGTGATTCTCGAGTTTTTTTCTCGGCGACCAAGATATGAGCCCCTTCCCCCCTTTCCGATTCTTCGTGCATAGCCCCAAATCTGCACTGGGAAATTCCTGGCGGGAACAGAGTACTGAGACAAAGTTTTGATCTTATATCCCTTAGGCGCATCGCGCATCAGTTAGCACAGCCTTCTCGTTCAAACAAGTTTGTCCCTGGCTCGACGTCATATCGAGTGCTTATCTGTGCCTAGCGTAAGCTTGTGATCTGTCTTCTGGATAAGAATCTTACATCTAACTGTCACTTCGGGTTCCATCCATCAAGCGCTTTCAGCTTCATTCCGAAAATCGATCATATTGTCTCATTTTCACGACATGGATGTATTCCCCCTAGAATTTTTGGCAGCTTTGGTGTGTTGTTGCGTGACCAGTGTTGATTCCAAACGACCAAAATCATCTCCCGAGGAACGCAAGGATCGCAGAGAGCGCAAGGCTCGCAAACAAGGCAAGAAATAATGAAGATGCCTTTGGTTATATGTAAGTGGTTCTTCGATACTGAGCTCTATTGCGGCAAGAGATGGCAAAAGATTCTGGCTGACAGTCTGACCGCAGAAACCCTCAACTCGGCCACGCAACATGAGAACAGAATTGAAGAGAGGTCTTTTTAATGCAACCGCTGAAAAGCCTGATACCCAAATGTAAGCTACCGCGAGTACAAACAGCTGCTCTTCCATAATCTGCACGAGCAATACACACACTAATCCCTCAATGCAGGTCCTCGGTATTTATTCACTTGGGTCAATATGTCGGATTGACGGATACTGGTATGTGCTAGTATTGAGGTGTCGGATTGAGATGCATTGATGTTGTTCTGGCTGGATCCCGCTGTTGAAGCGTAATCAGATCCCAGGATCCGTTCCTAGCGTGTTACGACGCTAGTAATCTGAGAATACTCGGTTTACCATACAAAGACAAAGGCAGAATGGGTACTTGATGAATAACCCTCCCTCAGTTCGACACCATATTATAAAGTTCCTTTATATCATTTCGATTTTCTATTTGTATCAGCGGATGAGAGCTTATATTGGAAAGGCTGGGTTTCTGTGCAGACTCGTTTGCTATATCATTCTCGATTTTTTGATGTGCCGGTTGATCTATGCTGCCTACTTGCACCCTTCCATCATTCTCCACTGGGCTATGCATGACAATGTTCTAACCGTCAAAATCCAACTTTTTTTTTTGGTCCACCCATCCACCCACTAAGGCACAGGCTAAACACACCGAGGGGCTTTGGGTGAAGAAGGCGGTAAAGAAAGTGCAAATATTTGCGGCCATTTTTTTATGTACATTGGGAGGCACCTTCGGGCTTAATCGACACATGCAGGGTTATAACCGCTCCCTTTAATTTCTATACCATAACACGACATTATTCAAATACCAGACGGAGGAGAAAAGAATATTCAGTAGACAATCACTGTTCTGTTGCTCAAAAGCGAGGGAGGCGGTATACACAAACTTTTGGCTCTCGATCTACCTTAGGTTCAAACCAGTCGGCTGCTCCCATTTGAGTTGCATGACCTTTCATGGACTAAGAACCCACTGTCGGGGTCAGCAGATTGCGCGCCATCATACTCTTATATCTGGCATTGGTAAACTTTCGACATATTGTAACTTCTGAACAAGAGTCAATGAAAAGCTTACTTAGCGGTCCCACCTAAATAACATGAGGGACAATCATCATTCTGGCCGCCACCACATATACTCTTAATTTTCTGTAAGCTCAGCAGGACACTGTTTGGGTTCGATCCATGGCACTTGACATTTTACTCTCTGTTTCATTGTTAAGCATATTTGGCTGATTCATCTGAATTTGTTACTCTTATTACACCTTTTTCGACTCGGCGTTTAACACTCCCCTGTCTTTCAGTGCTCCCACCGTGAGGAGATTCATCACCGTAATATTTCTAAAATCTAGGGCACAGGATAATTCTGGATGGGCAACCCTCGCCATCTTCTTGCAATGTCCGGGAACCCTGCCAGATCGAGTCAAACTGGCTGGTTCCAGGTAACGTAATTCACATGCGAGCTGGACACACAAGCGAGCTGGACACCCCACCAAAAACGCGTTAGTTAATTAGATCTCTCTTCTTTAACCACCCACTATGCCACCAATTCGTACTCAATCCTCTCAAAAACGTACGGAGCAAGAGGGTAGGATCTTATTAGCTATTCAGGCTATTCGGAAGCAAGAATTTACCTCTATTCGTGAAGCAGCACGCCAATTCAAAGTACCGAATTCAACTCTCGCTACACGCCTTAATGGGGTTAAAAACCGCGTTGAATCTCGCGCAAATTCATACAAATTGACTGAAATTGAGGAGGAATCGCTTCGAAAATGGATTCTCTCAATGGATTCTCGTGGAGCAGCCCCTCGGCCTTCTACTGTACGAGAAATAGCAGACTTACTACTCGCGGCGCGTGGATCTATCCCTCCTCCTTCGGTCGGCCAAAATTGGGTTACGAATTTCGTTAAAAGGCATTCTGACCTATCGGCCCGATTCTCGAGACGCTACGATTATCAGCGAGCAAAATGCGAAGACCCGAAAATCATTTCTGAATGGTTCTCTCTCGTTCAAAAAACGATTCTAACGTACGGTATCGATCTCGACGATATCTATAACTTTGACGAGACCGGGTTTGCAATGGGCTTAATTGCGACCGCAAAAGTTATTACGAGAAAGGAATTCTACGGTCGGAGATCGCTTTTACAGCCTGGAAATCGCGCGTGGGTGACTACAATCGAGTGTATAAACGCGTCAGGGTGGGCGCTTCCTCCGTATATCATTTTTAAGGGTAAAGTCCTTATTGAATCTTGGCTCGACGGCCTTCCGCTTGATTGGAGACTCGATGTTAGTTCGAACGGGTGGACTTCCGACGAAATTAGCCTTCGGTGGCTTCAAAAGCAGTTTATTCCGTCTACTTTTTCGCGTACGAAAGGGAAGTATAGACTTTTGATGATGATGATGATGATGATGATGAACTCATTTGCCCGATGTAGCTCGCTCTATATATATGCTGCTATGCGGGAGTGCTGTCAGGCCTGCCGACAGCTGCAAGGTGGTCGCCAGCCCACTAGGCGATCGTCAAGGAACTCGTCTTGCGAATTTCTGATCAATCGCCCTCGAATGGAAAGATGTAGACTAAACAAAAGAAATGCACGGATGCAAACATGGTAAACACAAAGCCAAAATGAACGAACGTCATTTACCCCTGATCGAGGGTAGGACCCGGGCCCCACTTCAACACACACCATTCCCACGCCCTCTTCTCTCCAACCGTCCAGTCTTGTCGGCTGCCGCTTGCGTGCTCGCTTGGATCAAGGGAGTACTGTGGACCTGGCACTGCACTCCTAATGGGCGCCATCCTTCTTCTTCCGTCACACTGTCTAAGGGGTCTTTATCTCCGCTCCTTCGTCGTTCTCTTCCTCGCCCAGAGCCGTAGGGTCGACTGTCTGAAATTGGCCTAGGAGGCCGGTCTTGACCATAAATTCAGCCACAGCCGTGCGAGCCTCCGGTCGTGTCAGGAGTTCGTCTCGACTAAGAGTAGTTCCCTTGTCGGAAAGGGCGCTTCTCATCCAGTCTCGCTCATCCTGGTGCAAGGGGCACTCCAACAGGACGTGGATCATTGTTTGGTTGCCAAGGTCGCAACCACACCGCGCTGTTTCGCGTCGGTTGATACGGTTCAGGTAAGCCCCTAGGCCAATTCGCCCAGTACGAAGCTGCATCAGAATCGATGTCGTCGCTTTGCACAGGCCCGACCAGTATTCTAGCGTCTTCTTGG